ATCACCTCGAGGCTAACTGCCGTTTCGTTAAACCAAGTTCGTCCTAAACTGCTTCGTTTATGATAATACACTACCTTATTCTTTGCTATATTTGGCGGCTTAGCTTCACTTTGCTGACTTAACTGGTTTTGTCTGAACGGTCCCTTGATTTCTGACCTCTCTCGGAATTCTGAGATATAACTGTTCTAGTCACAGCCGACAATGGAACAATGGAACAATGGATTTATGCGGGTATAAAAGCTAAAGCTTGACAAATCCCGTAGGGTGATCAGTGCGAAAATCATAGAAGTGTGAAAATTTCAATGGAAACCAATTCAGTAAAATCGTTTAACAGCCAGTCACTACAAGCTTGTGGACTCCCCGAGTTTGAAGTGTCAAAATAATAGTCCACTATAACTCCGGAGGGGATCATGAGGTATGGAGTATTTGGTTAAAAGAGTCACCGCCCCTTGAAATTCGCATGGGGCAAAGTGTTAGAGTTTGAAGTGTCAATATATAAATCCACTGTTGAAATAAGCGTGAGGGAAAATTATTTTTAAAGTATGGATTTTGGACCTCTCAAAATTAGACTGTACTATGGGAGATAGTGCAATGAAGTGAGTGCACTATCAACTCGATTTTTGAACTCGATCAGGTTTGGTGCACTGACTACAGATTCTGGGAGAGCATTCCAGGCTTGGCAAACACGCACGGAAAAGAAATTCCGTCGACATTCCAAACGGCTGTACTGCACTGCCAGCTTCAGATGATGGCCTCTCAGGGTGTTGCTGTTACTGAGCTCCAGCAGATGGCGGCAGGTATGATTGGGGTCTGTCAGAATCTGATAAGCCAAAATCAAATCTCCCCGTAGTCTTCGATATTGACCACTAAATATCCCGAGCGATCTCAGTCTGTCTTCGTAGCGTAACTGGCCTAAACCTTTCACGTTCTTCGTTGCGCGTCGTTGAGGTTTCTCTAAATCAGAGAGGTCTTTCCTCAGCCACGGCTGCCAGACTTGTATTGCATACTCCACGTGTGGTCGTATGTATGCACCTAGAAGTTGGTGAAAAACGGATGGATCGAAGCGTCCAAATGTGCGCCTGAGAAGGCCCAAATTTCGAATGCTCGCGTTCGAGGCTTTCTTTGCCTGGGCTGAACAACCAAGGTCGGACTGAATCAAGACTCCCAAATCCTTTTCCTCAGCATTTGTGTGAAGCACATGGTCACCCAATTTATAAAAATGTGCTGATTGGTGACGTAAGTGTAATACTCTGCATTTTGCTGTGTTGAATGGGAGTTGGTTCTGAACTGACCACGCATACACCTTATCCAGATCCTCTTGAAGTATTGCGGAGTCGTCTGGTGTATTGATCGCTCTCCAGACCTTGATGTCGTCGGCATAGAGTAGGCAGTTGGAAAGAATGAGGGCCGCTATGTCGTCAATATACATCAAAAACAATCGTGGCCCCAGTACCGATCCTTGTGGTACACCACATTCGACTTGGATTGGGTGGGACAGGGACCCACGCACTTTTACCTCTAAGCTCCGTTGGAGAAGAAAGCTTGTGATCCATCCTAGGAGCGTATCACCAATGCCGAAGCTCTGAAGTTTGCAGATCAGGATTCCATGGTCTAGTCGATCGAAGGCCTTTGAGAAATCTAGGTAGACCACGTCCACTCCTGCACCGCTGTCAATTAATTTGGTCCAACTCGATCTTGCTAGCAGCAGATTTGTGGTGCACGATCGATTCCGTCGAAAACCATGCTGTTCATGTGCAAGGATGGCAGACTCTTCTAGATAGGCTGTTAATACGTCAGCAACAATAGCTTCCATAATCTTCGACAGGACCGGGAGAAGGGTTACAGGACGGTAGTTGGCTGGATCAGAACGGCTACCGCCCTTGTGAATTGGGGTTATGATCCCACATTTCCACATCTCGGGTACATACATCTGATCGAAGCAGCGTTGAAAGAATCGCGCCAGAGGCTCTGCTAAAGTTTCTCCCATTACCGCAAGGGCCTTAGGGTGAATGTTGTCGATTCCAGGAGAGCTGTGCTTACGCATACACAACAACTTCTTTAATACCATCCCCGCAATGCTCTGTTACCCTAACCTTAATTACATCATCGGGTATTGTTCCTCCTTATTTTTATTAACAAGGATGAATCATCACCTGAAGAAGGTTTGCAGCGTTTCCACTTCTCCTCAATAGAACCTGTTTTACCGACCATTTCTTTTCTTCTGGGCTTTTTGTTGCATTCTTTCTTCATTCGGCGCTAATTTACATGCGTACGTCCTCGCTGACTTCTTACATCCCCATTAAGTTAAGAGTGATGCCACGCGTTGCAGTCGCTTCTTCTGAGTGATATTCTTTCCCATAATCTGCACAACTAGTCCTCCAGTCTCTGGTTCCCACCGCTTGAACGTATGCGCACTAGAACCCCTCAAACTCTCTTTTCTTCATCTTCATTCCTATTTTGGAACAATCTTTCATTTTCTAAGGATCCGGGTTTTGCTTGCTTCTCGTCGTATTTCGCCACATATGATACACGTATATATGCGATAGTTAAATAACAGTTACATGTATAGGGTACAATATGTCAGTCATCGCCGCAATTGATCGACTGCATTCCAGACGCATCCCTTTCATGTCTCTGTGGCTGTTTCTGTTCGTTTCCTATTTTCCCGAGTTTGTCTCAGGTACGGCGACACGCACCTAAGGAATAGTCCATCGTCGCGACAATAACACAAGCCACACAGTTTGTTTACTTGGACACGAGCGGGATATTATCAACCGAGTTTACAACTTACTAACCAGTCGATTCATTGGTTATCGTGCACGGATACAAATTTTCCGAGACTTGAACCTTCGGGTTCAGTTTGCCTACCACTATCTCTTCCGCATATCTCTTCCCTGGAGAATGCTGACAACGGAAGGCACATTCTTATACGGTACAAAGCCAGAAAAAATGATCATTAGGAGCTCTTCAATAAGCGCTGACAGCTCAATTGCTCGTGGTTTCTTATATTTCAAGTCAATTTTACTACATACCACGGGAAACCTGCGATTCATTCTTCGGAACCAAATTCTATCCTTCAATACTTCAACAACAATCCAACATATTACAATGTATATCCCTCGGAGACTTCACGTGGATCTGCATAATATCAGCACATCATATTCAAAAAGCAAGTTTAGTTCTTGACCTACCAATCGGGCACTGTACAGGACGCAGAAACGCGATATGTGAACGGCTAACGCATCAGCCAGTAGAGAAATGGGACGAAACTTGACTGCGAATAACCGAGCAAACAAACGTTCAACAAGAAACATAGCCAGTTACAACTTGCCATTCAATGATTGGCGGCAATGTTTCAGGACGTGTTGGGTTTTCGTCTGGCAAGCGTTCTCCCTGTAAAAAGCCACAAATGTCCGTTTAACCACACTGCAAATTGGCGAATGTGACTATCCACCGAATAAAGTTACAGCCCATAACTTCACACTAGCTGGTCAACTAACGTCGCCACTCTAGAGTGGTTCGTACACTGGAATTTCTACATCTGCAAATACTGTCGTCTGTTTAATTTCTACGATATCACCGTTGACCTTTGCGTTACTTGTGCACAAACTCACTGTATTGTCATATCTCTCTTGAGCGTGCCCTTTAATTATCTTCCAATGGATCATACAGGATTCTCAATCTATTATTAGTCGAGGTCCCGATCTCACAACAGCCAAAATATCGTTTCGCATTTTCACCAGTACAGTTCCAATCATTGACATATGAACAATCTTCTACTGTCACCGTTACAGTTGCCATAAAATATCTGTACAGTTGTACATATCTGATCATGCCTTGTCCGGGACAAAATGGCACTAGAAAGGGCGTTGCGTGTCTGTAATAGTTGGTCGTGGGGTTACGAGGACAAACGTACCCCGAACGCCTATTTGTTTAGGGTTGCATGCAATGCATTGTCGAAGGATTAGAGGGGACCTAATTCTAACCTACCGTACTTTGACTAGGAAGGTTGGCCCTGATTTGTCCTGGCTATTTAGTCCTGCTAGATTATCTGGTCTCCGTGGGCATTGTATGAAGCTGGACAAACCGCGACCCTATGGATTTAGAGTAGAGACACCCTTGTCACGTCGAGTCATCGAGCGCTGGCACCTGCTTCCAGAAAATGTTGTCAAGAAAGCTATGGTTAAGGGCTTTGGGCGTCAAACAGAAGCACTTGGGTGGCAACAAGAAACCTTTCCTTTTTCCGGCCTAATTCCATTCTTCAAACTTCGATACTATTTTCTTTACTTTTCCTCGCCATTGGCATTATTCTCTTCTTTTATCTGATTTTCCTTACTCTCATACCTTCGATTTTTCTTCCTCGCTTACTTACTTCAGTTAACTGACATAGAAGGGACAGTTAGTATAAGGAACGTGGGCAATAAATTGGTGGACCAGGGTGCCTTTCAGGTGTTTTCCTTTTAGACCAATCAAGAAGTCGGTGCACCTCTATCAACTCCTGGATCAACGACCGGCTCAAGAAGGAATGCTCACAGGATTCATCCTGTCTTTCCAGTCCCATTTGAACTTGAACTTGACCAGAACGGCTTTAATCGACCCAAGATATCTTGGATCAGAGAAAACTTTACAATAGTCAAATTTCGTTACAAGTGTTTATTCCAGTACTCTTATTTCAAATATGTAACTAAAAAGCTTGATCAGCATGGCACACCAAAAAAATCGAGTTACCGCGCAGTAACTGCGTTCACTCAAACATACAATTACATTCTCACTGCTTATACTTAATAAAAAAATGTTAAAGGACGTCAGTATGTATCTGCATTATAGTTTAGATATTTTTGCTAAGTTCAGTAACTCCGTATAGAAGTTTGAATCATTTAATTGCTATACGTAGAGATGACAAGGCGTTCCTGTGTTTACCGCCAGACTGAAAATGTCGAAAACAGAGGGTGTCGTTGTTAACAAATGGTGTATTAGCTCTGTGAAGAATGCTCTCGATGATGCTACGAAAGAAGTAAATCTATTCCACTCGATCTACTGACCTTTAGATACTGTCAGAAAAGTATGGGCTGGTAGAATATCACTGGCTTTTCGATTGCCGCCTTATACTTTGCTCTTTATCGGTGCTCGTTGCAGGAGTGGCACTTGGCTGGGATTATCTGTACCCCCATCCTCAATCCAGGACCGTTCTTTTTATTTGTATTATTTTGTACTTCGTTCTTTCCGGTATCATCACGCTGTACGTGATGTTTATCGAAAAAAACATTTTCTTCTGTGGTAAAAAGCTAGATCCTACAGGACTCGATCCTCCGACTACTTGGAGAGTGTCTTCTTTTATGCACAAGTAAGGATCTTTTGTTAACTTACTTGCTAGAAATGATCCGACGTATCGTCTCTCATTTTTGGTCACGGATGGTAAGACCGGAAGCGTCCGACAATCTTCCGTACAGCGATGTATCTCGGACTTTTTCGACATCAAAGGAAAGTTCCGTAATGATCTGTACAGTACTTTACTCCTAAAACTTGTATCTGATCTTGAACCAGGAAAAAAAGACCAGTAATTTTCCGCACATAAACGTCTTTGTCACCCATACTCGTACTTTCACTGGCTTTCGGTTTGTCTGTAACTGACTATATATAACGTTGGTTTATTGAGCTCTCCTGAAACATCAAGGTGTAATTAGCCATTGTGTAACTTTAAGAACAGTCATGGTCCACTCATTGTTTAAGATTCAAGCTTTTCCCACCGTGTTACCCACTAACACTCGATTCACGCCCGTTTTGGTGATAGGGGTTCCACGTTTAGTGTGACTGTTTTCTGCAAATCTGAGTGTTGACGCAGTAACTTAAGCTGTAGTTACACCTAACTATAAAGTGGCGACAAAATGTTGGTACGTAGTATCACTTCGGACACATTTCCCTGCTCTGGCAATCCATTTGCGATCTCGTTTAGGTGCAGCGATTTGTTATTCATTTGTAACCTATCCAGTCCGTTAGTATAGATGAAAATAGTTCTTCATAACGCATACCAATCAACTGCGTAGCTGCGATTTCATTTTAAGTGATTATTCTTTTGCTACTAATGTTCTTTGTTACCGCGTCGAGCGTCTCATATACTTATTTCTTATTTAACGTCTCGCGAGATATGACTCAAAGCTCGTTGCCCAGAATTAATCGGACAAGTCACTGATTTATTGGGATTGATTTACATATTGAGAGCAGGAGCAAGTGCCCTTGTCAGCCACATCGGTTCCGAATCATTACAAGGTGGGTGTTTGCTGTCGAGAGACGTTACTCCTTCCGAGATTGTCACCTTTAAAATAACAACAGCAGGACCCTTCCATGGCATTATATGTGAGTCTAGCAATTGCTTGGAACTGCGAATCAATAATGTGTTTCGGCACACTGTTCCAGTCATTTACTACCCTGGACGGACGAGCGCGAAGCGTCCTCGGCTTAAATAGTTTCCACCTGTAGCCACGTATTGAGCTGCCCACATTGTGATAGAACTGCTGCAGCTTACTTCCAAGCTCTTCTCTTAGGACACGTCTGGTGTAGAGATTTCCGCGACGGCGATGGCATTCCATGGAAAACATGTTCAACGTTTCAAGTCAGAGGGTCTAGGAGAGGTCCCAAAGCTCCGATATAGATTTTGCGCCGTGCGATTGTATCTTCCGTATCACACCATCTTCAGATTTCATTAAGGGTAGGCGGTCTTGAGACCATATTCTAGAATCGACCGAACATGCGGAGCGAAAAGGATTCTAAAAATCTAGTTTTGCAGTACTACCTTCGCAAATCCCAAAGCATTCAGTTGGCTGCCGCGATCTGTGTGTCAAGGGATGTCTTGAGATCGTGCGAGACGATGACTCCCAGGTTCTTCTCATGTGTGACAGACTTGATGAGATATCTTCCGTTATGATACGCACCGAACGAGTCTGGGCCACCAACCGGCAGAACAGCACCTTTGTCACGGTTTACCGGGTGTTGCCACTCGACTTACCAGTTATGCAGCTGATCAAGCGAAGGTTTGACTCTCTCCACATCTTCGGGGCAAAATAATTCTGACCACAGTTAAAGGTCATCAGCGTAGACTAGACAGTCGGTTTGAAGTGTCGCTCTAAGATCGTTACTTTACAGTTTGAAAAGCTTTGGTCTAGCAACGGTCATCATCAACAGCAGTACATCAGCCATTTGAACTGATGCTTCGCTGCCATACAACCATGAGGACCTATGAAATAAAGAATAAGAAGAGGGAGAGAAGGGGGATTTACCTGAAAACCTTAATGCCCTAAGCAAACATTCTGGGTCAAGGCGCCTACACCTTGTGTAGACAACATACCGTCACAAACAGCTGGCTATCGTGCAAAGATAAGGCGGCATCGGCGAGACAGCTTCCTTGCGGCTTTCCCTGCCACGCATCATAATCAGCCATTATCCCGCAGATAACTCAGCACCATACATACTTTAAACAGGCAACCCGATTAGAAGACGGCAGCAGACGCGCCACTGGTGTCGGTTGCGAGCCATATCCTGCTAAGTCTCGAGCCAAGCACATGGCGAGTCACGTGGACTCCAACCCGGAAGGCGAGACGGACCAACGGCACCCAGTTTGGTTGTCAGTGACTTCATTTCTCGCTGCCAAGTCAACTTCAGTCCACCTCGAGCCTTGCACCACCCTAAACCTGGTAGACTGAACAAGGCCCTCCTAGGTAAGCGGTGACCAGGCATACGTAGCACGTGCCCGAGCCAACACAACTTATTCAATGCTATCTGTTGTTCTAGGGTGCTAGCATGATTATCACTACCTAGTACTCGCCTACGCACATCATCGTTGCGGACACGCTGGTGCCATCCGACTCCAGCAATGCTTCGCGAACAATGATGATCAAAGACTTGAAGGCGCCTCAGATCTTCAGACCGAAGGGGCCAAGTTTCACTACCATAGAGCAGAACGGCCCTCACTGTGGTCTTGTATACACGGTCTTTCAGACGGAGGGAAACTCCCTTCTGTCGCCAAAGACGCCGCAGGTTCAAGTAGGCAGATCTGGCCTTTGCAATGCGTGAGCTCACGTCAGTTTCTATGCGCCCATTATTGCTGATGCAGCTGCCAAGATAAGTGAAATGATCAACCACCTCGAGTTCCGTTAGCAAGCGTCAAGGGGTCATCAAGTGGCTGGTGGTCCTGCAACAACACTTTGCACTTTGAAGGTGCGATTTGCATACCAAATAATGGGACCACTCTGGACAGGCTATACAGGGTTGATTGTGCCGCCCCAACATCGTCGAAAAGCAAGACGATATCGTCCGCATAATCTAGGTCAACTAACCTTTCACCAGGCAGCACTTCAACGCCTACATCGTTGGATTCCGTCAGGGAACACTCCATGATAGAATCCACGACGAAATTGAACAAAAACGGGGAAATCGGACAACCCTGACGAACGCCACTTGTAGTCGGAAAGCTGTCCGATAGGGCACCGTAGACCCTGACGCGGTCTGTAGTGTTCGAGTATAGAGCACGAAGGACGTTCACATATTTCGTGGGAACACCTTTTCGCGCAAGTAATTCGAACAGAATCGATCGATCGACTGAATCTAACGCACTCTTGAAATCGAGGAACACAGCTATTGTCGGTCTGCGGTATGCGTGGCGCTGCTCTGGCACCTGCCGCAAAGTAAATATATGGTCTATACAGCCACGTCCTGGGCGAAAACCGGCCTGCTCTTCCTTAATCCGAGATTCCCGTTCTGCAGTGAGGCGACGAACGATAATCGAGACCAGTAACTTTGTCACAACTGGCGTTAGGCTAATACCCCTGTGGTTCGCACAGTCTGTGCGACTGCCCTTTTTGTATATTGCCACTATAATCGATTCGCTCCAGTTAGCCGGGACACTTCGTTCCAGATACGCTCGGATAGGGAGTTCAGTGCTTTGCAGAGGACCTCACCTCTATCCGTAAACAGTGCAGGTGGGAGGGAATCCGGGCCGGCGGCACGAAAACGATTGAGGGCTGTAATCGCGTTTCGGACCTCGGCCTTCGACGGAGGCTCTAAGCTAACCGTCCATGGCACGTCCTGCATCACCTGAGTAGGAAGAGGACCGGGAGCAGGGTGCCAGGAACGGAGCCTTGATGAACCCCACTAGTCATAGACCCAGGGACGGAGAACGTTGGGTTCACTTCCACCTGAATGGTTCGTGCATCCAGGAAGTCTGCAATCCAGGACAGGATGTTTCCGGTGACACCAACCCTATGAAGTTTGAATAGAAGGCGTTTGTGGCACTTTGTCAGATACCTTGCGGAAGTCAATGAAGATGAAATCATAATGTCTGGTTTGTTGTTTTAACTCTTGCTTCTCTAGCAGCAAGCGGATCAGTGATGTAGTATCGTGCTCTGCGGAATCCGTGCTGTGGGGGGAGATTATGTATAAGCCTTCTCACTGAGCGTTGAGAACGCAATTGGTTATTCTCTTCATGATTTTACAGACGTCAGACATATCGGCCAATAGTTGGCATGGTCCTGCCAGTAACCTTTGTATTTAGGCATTGCTATTCCTACTTTCCAAGTGCTAGGGAAGCGGCCCTCCGCAAGTGAGAGCCGGAATACCTGGGGCATTGGATCAGCAATGCACTCGACCGACATCTTGAGGAATAATGGGTTTAGTCCGTCAGGTCCTGGTGCAGAGTTAGGGTTCAACTTACGGATTAGTGGCATGACCACCTGTACCCTAATTAAAATAGCTCTAGTGTTAGTGAGCACGTGCATACATTCTTGCTGGACAGTGGTGGCTCTACCGAGTAGACTGCTGAGTACCGCGAGGCCAGTAGACTGGCTTTCTCCTCATCGTGATGGAATACAGTGATTTCTCTAGGAGCAGATATATATGGGATACCAACGTGCGCATTGGTGTTTCGCCTTATGTATGAGAAGAGTTTCTTCGGGCACGTTCGGGATTGAACAGCCAGGTCTTGTTCGTTTTGAGCTTGTTTCTACTGCTTTTCCAGAGTGCACAAGTTTCAAACCTCTCTACTTTAGGTAATCTGAGGCTAGTTGTGTACTCTTGAATACGGACCATACGCCGCCTGTTCAGTAAGGGCCTCAGTTCTCGGCTGATCCAGGTCCTTTATGGAGCGGTTTACTTCGGAACATCTGGGCAGCTTTTTCCATGATTGACGTCATCTTGGACAGCAGTAAGTTCCATGCTTCAACACTCAGGGATTGTGTGCTACTCCACAGCGTGTAATCTCGATGGATCTATACGCTAGAAGTTAAAACGATATGCCCCGTGGTCATAGATGCTAAGACGTCCTGTATACAACAGGGAGACTAACGAGTGGTCCCTTCGGCCGAGTGGTTGGAGGGTCTGCAAGTCATAGGCGTCGGAGGGAATCGGTAGAAACACCGGATCAAGGACGTTTAATGTCTGGCCCGGGAGCATCCGCGTTGATGTAGAGCTGTCCTGAATTATTACATTCGTGAACAGCCTCAAGGAGCCCCCGTTTGAAGGAATCTTGCGGA